AGCGCAAGCAGCGCAGCAGCAGCCCTGCACTAATCAAGCAAGACCTGGTTCCTGCACTTTTCCTTCCTTCTTTGCCCTCTCTTCTTCTTCCCTTCTAATCTTCTTCTTCTCTTCCCTCCTTCTTCATCCGCCCTCAGTCTGCGTCCTCTGCCCATCCACCTCCGATCTCTTACACGATCCTACATACTTAATAAGCTATTCTCGCGACTACACTCGTCTCGCGGCGTTTAAGCTAGAATCATTGAATTTATCCATTTGATCAGTAATAGATGAAGTACTTGCCAAACCTGACATAGGGCAACCCCACTCTCCGACAAATATATCACCATATTCGTGTACTTATTCTGTTCCAACGATCCCGCCGCTAGACAAGCTCAGTTCTGACGCAGTCGAGAGCTTTAATATCAAACGAACATGTCGCAACAAACCACCACCGCTCATCCCCCTCCAACACAAACATCTGTTATCATAGACTCCAGTGATAGTTTCGGTTTTCCTCTCGGGTTCTGTGCATCATTGACGTGTGAAATGTTCGTCCTTATGATTCTCAGTCTTCCCGTTGTAAATAACACCATCGTACATAGAAAACTTTGAGAAAAAAACGCTGTTTCTTCAATGAATGTCAAGGCAGAGTGTGCTCACCTATCTTCCAGAGGCGAATACACTGACAACCACACTGGTCTGATGAATGGTGTGGGAGAGAAAGCTGAACAAATTGTCTTCCAAATTCTTGTGGTGAAAATGGTAGCCGGGGCCAACACAATGCTGAGAATTCAAAGGAATGTTTGGAAATGGCAATGTCATTCTTGCAACATCCACAAACTGTTACTGTATGGACGCGTGAGCCTTTCTCAGCTTCCCTGCACACTGCTGCCGGGGAATACCTACTCCTCATATATTCCAGTAATTATGTTCCATTTCTTCTTATTATGATACAAGCTCTTTAGTAGGATAAAGAAAAATATCAGGTTGATCGTATTGATTTACAGATTGAGGAGAATGGAAGAGCTGGTAGGAGGCTCACGATAAGCGCGTGGATACGCCTGTCGATCAGCAGACTACAAGACTTCAGAAGCAGCTAG